TTGCACTGGTCCGGTATTATCTACAATCAGTGCCAGAATTAAAGCCCTGATGAAGTTTTGAGCCCCTGAAACGTGTTGGATTGATCAGCTGACCTCTTCTTATGAAAGATAAACTTTTTGCTGGTGTCATTCTAGATTTTTGATACTATCCTCTCTTCCATCATTTCCAGCAATACAAATCTGGCAAATGTTCTAATCCTTCCAGACACTATCCAAAACAGTGCTCACAGACAGATCTCTAAAACAGTGATGGCCAAACTTCAGCCCTCCAGCTGTGGTGAAACTACAGATCCAATCATTCATCTGCCTCTGCAAGTCTTGTCTGTGGCTGTCAGAGTCTTGCAATGCATGATGGGATTTGTGGTTTCGCCACACCTGGAAGGCCGAGGTTTGACTACCCCTGGTCTGTAAGGTGCTCGCAGGCACCACTGGCCGTTAGCTGAGGAAATAGCAAATGGCTTCCCCTGAGAAGCCTCAGCTGTGACAAAGAGGTACCTAGCCCAGGGGTGCTGGAATTGTGTCACTATTGCCAACCGTCCTCTAGCACCTAGGGGAACCTTAAGAATCCAACCAGGTTTGTATCATACACCCATGGGTGCTCAAACCTTCATGTACAACTGTATGCTTCAGTACCTCACACAATGCAATCAAAGCACTGCAATAAAAATAAAAGCTGATGTCATTTCCCTTTCCACCCTTCACTTGCTCCTGAGTACAGGGACAGCGGCCCAGGCGGGCGCTCATACATGTATTTTTACATATGTTTATTATTGCTAATACCGTGTTCCAGTTGGAAGTCTGTAAAAGGAACAGCGTCTGAGGAGGGCGCACTCCTCCCAGTGGCCCGGCACGTCACAAGAATAACACGCTTTCCCCTTATATAGCGGCATATTTCTGCGCTGAGATCGCCGCGTTCGCCTTGAGTAAAGATCCCGAGCAGATGTCTTGTTAGGCAGAGGAAATGAGCTCATTGTTTACACCTTGGACTCCAGTGACTGATTAGCAGAAAGGAGAGCTGTGCAGGAAAAGGGAGAGAGAGAGAGAGAGAGAGCTGCCACCTTCCCGAATTTCTGCCCCTTTTTAATGTTCCTTCAAAGATGACGGGAATTCAGCTCATGCAAGTTCTGTCTGGTGGGTTTATGCTAGTCATCTGCAGAAAGCAGAACAAATTCACACCAGAGGAGCTTACACTCTAATGTCCCCACCGCAACCATATTTATATTGCTGTGACTGCAGTACTGTACAGAGAGCAGTGAGCCAATAATATCAGTATGTGCTCCAACGGAGCTTGCACTCTAATGTCCCCACCCCAACCATATTGATATTGCTGTGACAGTAGTACTGTACAGAGAGCAGTGAGCTATTAACATCAGTCTCTGCACCAGAGGAGCTTGCACTCTAATGTCCCCACCACAACCATACACATTGTTATTTATAGACTCATAGAGCTCTGACAACATCTGCAGTGCTGTTGAGAGAGCATTGAGCCATTCACACCAATCTCTGCATCAGAGGAGCTTACACTCTAATGCAGGGTTGGGCAACTCCAGCCATCCAGCTGTTGTGGAACTACAAGTCCAATGAGGCATTGCAAGACTGACACTTGACTTCCAGAGGCATGTTGGGGTTTGTAGTTAAAGCATAGCTGGAGGGGAGTTGCCCACCCCTGGTCTAATGTATTCACCACAACCATACACATTGTTAAAACACATTTATATAGCTCTGACATGTGCTACAGAGCCATTCACTTCAAT